AAAATTTATTTTCATTTTCTGTATAAGAACCATCAAAATTGTTACTTCTTCATACATCCTTGTTTCACAGGAAAGGCTTGATTCAAACTGTGAAACTTATATTTATAACAAAGAACTGAATTTGAATATTCCACATTTTAAATGATTCATTGGGTTAAAAGAATTGATTCTAAATTAAACTGCTTTTAACCTAAGAATTTCTTTGAAAAAGTGAAATCTACCAAGGAAATGCACTGAATCATTGTAGTATTTTGACACCAAATGGCAGCTTACGAAGTACTTCAATGTCTTGGATTATTTTTTCTGTTCCTGTAGCTCTGCAGTTCTTTAGAAAGTGATGTGCATTATTAATAGTGTTTTATATTTTGAAGTGCTTTAGACTTTTCCAAATTGTTCTTTCATTTTATCCTTTATAACCACCCTGTGAAAGCAGTATACAGACATTCCGCTTTTGACAAATTACAAAAAATGATATGGTAGGAGGGGTGTTGAGTCAATTATGAAAAACACAATCACTTGAAAGTTCAGTTGGAATTGTAACCCAAGTCTTCTCTTCGGGGCCTTTTGCAACTTTGATTAATTTTCCCTTTTTCTTTGTGATTTGAGTTTTTTTCTCTCTCAAACTTTAGCAGGCCTACTCTTTTATTTTCTGAAGATAAACAGTCTCTCCCCTCCCCCCCCCTTTAAAACTTCTATGTGTTGGAAATGTAAAATAGAAGACAATTTGGGGAGGCCAGATTCGAGCAAGGAAGCATGCTGGTAATATTTGCTAAATAATCATAAGTGTCCTTATTTTTAAAATTGCAAGTCATTGTTAAGAAAATAATCAATTGTATTCTTAAAGAATTTTTCTAATTGGTTACCCATTTTTTTTTCCCAAAAGAATAATTTTGAGTTGCTTTTACTGATCTGGAAGGTGGGCATTAGGAAAAATGTTTAAAATTGACATAGTGTTTATCTATGGCACCTTTTAAAAAACATTTTTTATTAGTCTGAATATATGTATTAATCCCTTTTTACATGCCGAGAAATTAAGAGGGAAGCCATTTTCCCAAAGAATCACTGCTCACCATTGTTCTTCGCTCTGACAATAGCGGGCCTCTGTTTCTGAAGCAGGTAGTTTACATTCCGCCCATGTTCACTCAGTCTGCAGCACACAGACACTATGGAAAGATAGGTAGGCAAAATGCAGTCAGTTTTTAGGCATGTAGAATTTTTCTGTCTTCATATTCTAGGTAACATGATATATTTAATTAAGAGTGTGAAATGTTACCTTTTTGGTAGATTGAAAATTACAGTTTTGGCATTTGAAGTTAAAACTTGAAAGGATGTTTTCCTTTTTATTCTCCCTATTACTGTGTATCTATCTTTTGCTTTTAAATGTTTCAGGACACCTGTACTCAGCACCAGTGAAGGCTGAAGAGCTTAAGTGGGGTGTAGTAGACAAATGAAGGGAACAATATTTCTCTAGTTTTACAAATTCATAAACAGTCATTCCTACTAGAATTTTCCCAAATACCTTCTTACTTCAGTAATCTCTACACAGTAGCGGCAGGTTAATTTTTGAGCCATGCTGTGTTTATCTGCCCCTAAAATGAAAGTGGCCAGTTGACACTAATAGGCCCATCCCATCAGAAAGCAGAGTTTCAAAAAGTCTCCATTCAATTCCTGCCTGGTGGTTGCACTGTGTCTAAGTTTGCACCAGTCTAAACTTCATTCTTCTTTTCCGAGTGATGACGTTAAACCACATCTCGAAGGAAGTCGTCCTCAGGTCGAGGATACCCAAGATTGCAAAAAGCATTAGCTATGGATTGACCCGATGGTGGTTTTATGTGTTTTTTCACTTTAGACAATTTTGTTTTCATGTCTTTTCCCACCTTCTGTGGACCACGGTCCTGTGTATCATTCTGTCCCCTAAAGCACCTTGCCCACATACATCACCTTAAACAGAAATCGCAACCTCCTGGGCAGCTGATCAATGATTCTCTCTCATCGTTGATGTTTCTGCCTCTCTCTCCCTCTCCCTTCCTCTCTGAAATAAAAAAAAAAAGAAAAGAAAAAGAAATTGCAACCTCTGGTTACCACCCAGGGCATGCCTGGTTGCCCACTGCTCACTCACTGCCTCGCTCTTGGAACTCCAGCCACAATGACCTGCTTGCAATTTCCTCTCACTTCACCTGCCATTTCATCCCTTTGGCATGAATTCCCTTGTTTTCTTCCCTCTATTCTGGCTAACTTCTATTCTAGAATATTCTAGATTTGGTTTAGATATAACTTCCACCAAGAAACCTTCCCCGAGCTTTTTATTTATTTTTTGTCATTACCTGTGCCTTTCTCTCTTTTAATTTTTTTAAAAACAACTTAATAGAGATATATTCACATACAATTACAATTCACTCATTTAGGGCATACAATTCAATGGTTATTATATATTTATGTATGTGCAAACATCACTGTAGTTAATTTTAGATCTTATTTCCTTAAAATGAAGCATCGTACCCTTAATCAGCTCCCTAAACCCCAGCCCCCTTCCCAGCCTAAGCAACTACTAACCTACTTTGCATTTATAAATTTCCCTGTTATGGACTTTGACATGAATAACAACACATGACACATGGAATTTTTTATTGGCTTCTTATACTTAGCATAATGTTTTTGAGGTTCGCCTAATTTGGGGCTTGCATTAGTACTGTATTCATTTTTATGGCTGAGTAATAGTCCGTTGTATGGATATACCACATTTTGTTTATCCATTCACCATCTTAATGTTGAGGGACATCTGGGTTGTTTCCACATTTTGGCTGTTATGAATAATCATGTACAAGTTTTTCTGTGAAAATGTTTTCATTTCTCTTGGGTATTTACCTAGAATTGGAATTGCTGGAACATGTGGCAACTTTCTGTTTAGTTGTCTGAAGAACTGCCAGATTCTTCCAAAGCACCCTCACCGCTTTGCAGTGTGTGAAAGCCCCAGTGTCCCCACATCCTTGCAACACTTGTTATTCTCTGTCCCTGTGATTCTAGCCATCCTAGTCGGTGCGAAGTGGAATCTCATTGTTGTTTTGTCTCCAGTAGATTATTTTTTTTAATGTATGTTTTCTCGGTATCCACGCATTACTTCCCAGTATGCAGTCCACACTCAGGTGTTGACTAGACTTGATTGAATGTGATACAAAAACTGTTTTTTTTTAAATTAAATCTTTATTGTTCAGATTATTACATTAGTTACTCTTTTTTCCCACCATAACTCCCCTCCACCCAGTTCCCACCCCACCCTCCGCCCTCACTCCCCACCCACTGTCCTCATCCATAGGTGCATGATTTTTGTCCAGGCTCTTCCCGAATCTCC